TTTCACCTCATTTGAATAACTCTGTACTGCGCCTCATTTGAATAACCCTGTATAGCACCTCATTTACATTGACCAATGGGAATAGCTCTGTACAATGCCTCATTAGAATTATCCAATAGAATCCCTGCTTCTAGCTTGCGCCTTTTTCCCTATATAAGGACCCCTTTCCCTTGGCTCGGTGCGCTTGGCCTCACAGAAGCTAAGTCGCCCGGGTACCCGTATCTCCAATAAAGCCTCTTGCGGTTTTGCATCCAAGCTCGTGGTCTCGCTGATTCCTGGGTGCGGGTCTCCTTCTACGAAAGTACCTCTTCGGGGGTCTTTCATTTCGAGCATCATGGGTCACCAGATGTGGGATTCCTTTAGTGCCCATATTAGATCTTTCTCACTTTGCACAACTTGTACTTGGCCTCCTCAGGTGTAATAGATCAGGTGGAAGTTCTCTCCAGTCTTGTCAATGCTGATGACATTCATAAATCCAGCAGGGTAGGTTATATCAGTCCTGACTTTGCCATCAATCTTAATGAAGCGCTGCATGCAAATTTTTACTTCATCTCCCGTCAAGGCATACTCAAGTCTGTTCCTTAGGAAAATGATCAGAGGCAGACATTCCCTCAGTTTGTGAGGGCCAGTGGATGGACAAGGAGCAAACATGCCAGTCAGTTTATCCAGTATCTAATGTTTTGGAGCCGCTACATACTTCAGATGTTTCTTGGGACCATGAGTCATGGCTGCGCTGGGAACGGAAAGAGCAGAAGTGCCAATCTTTTCAAAATATTTTTAGGCTACTAAGAAGTGACATGGTGAATTTTTATACTTGTCAGAGCGGTGGAAAAGCTCCTATTCTGTTTACAACCCAATTTTGTAAACAATTCAACTGGCTTTTAAAATGCATTGCTTATTTAATGCAAAAAACGATGCTTAACCTGAATCCAAGGGCTGACTTCAGATAGTGACTAGGATGGCAGTGGGGAGAGCTTTGAAGCCCTTTTTGGTTTTGCTGGCTGGCCTGCTCCTTCTTGTTAAGTTTCTTGGAGAACTGCAGATTGAACTGGTGGATAAGTGTACTCCAGAGCTACACAGTCCCAGCTCTCAGAGACTCTTTCAGAGAGTAGTCTAGGCTGGGTTTGCAGCCCAGGCAGGCCTTGATCCTGTGCCCTCAGGGTTAGTCTGCTGCCACCACACCCAACTTTTCCTAGACACAGTGGTTAGTTCCTATAGATTGTTATGTGCTGCAGTTGGAGATACAAAATATAAAACACAGAGCCTAAAAGATACTTTTGCCTTTATCAGCAGTAAGAGATTGAGTTAAGAGATGTACATACTGGTTTTTGAAAGAGCACGGAAGTGGAAGGAAGTAGTCTTGCATTTCAGGCATTTTGTCTTTCTAGCTCACCCCGAACCTCACACCCAACTAAAGAATGTGAATGAGCTGAAAGAAATATAAATTAAAAGCAAACGGTTTTAGTTTCTTTTTACAATACTATGTCT